CAGTAGACCCTTCAGATGCCATCGCTGTATCAACGCCAGCTATCTCTTGTGTTCTCTGTGGTCAAGTAGACAACCAGCAGACACAATGCAGCTTAACCCGTCTCTGCCAAGTCCCTGATGCTCTCTGTCCCAAGGGCAGATCAAGTCACACACACATAGGCATGCTACTACTCCAAGCAGTGCAACTCTAGACCTCAGCTGCGAGAAAGAAATGCCAGCTTGCCACTGTGACGATTACATTAATTTCCTATATAAAGAATCTAAGAGATTAAGCAGGGTCTCCATGCGCGGAGTACAGGGGAGGACTAAAGGGGGGTAGAAGTCCTTGTTGGGAAAAAGGCAGGAGGCAGCCAGCAACTTCCAAGTCAGCAAACAAAACAAACCCGAGAGGCTGGGGAAGAAAAATGACAGACACAGGCAGGCTGTGTCTACAGTACAAATATCCTGCAAAGACAAGAGTGCTGCATAGAGTGTCAAAGCGGCCTCCTTGTCCACAGGAAACCAGATACTACATACAGGCCACCGATCACTAAAAAAGGGACTGACCGGGCTGAAGGAAATACCATGGATGTGTACTACAGACTATTTCAAATAAGCTTTGTTAAAGAACGCAGGTCTTGGTTTACCATCGCCCAACCCTGTAACTACCCACATGCTCTACATTGGTCATTACGGCAAATCATTTACCTAATTTAACCTCCCTAGCGGTCTGATTATGTCAGTATTTCTGTGCTCAAACAGTACATTTTTTTGCATGGAAATATTTATTTATTTCAGGTACTTATATAGCGCTATCAATTTATGCAGCTCTTTACATATATATTGTACATTCACATCAGTCCCTAACCCTCAAGGGGCGTACAATCTAAGGTCCCTAACTCACATTCATACATACACATACTAGGGCCAATTTAGATAGGATCCAATTAACCTACCAGCATGTCTTTGGAGCGTGGGAGGAAACCAGAGTACCTGGAGGAAACCCACGCAGGCACAGGAAGAACATGCAAACTCCAGGCAGGTGGTGCTGTGGCTGGGATTTGAACCAACAACCCTAGTGCTGCCAGGTGGAAGTGCTAATCATTTAGCCACTGTCTCTCTCTCTATGTATATGTGTATATGTATGTGTGTATATGTATATATGGATGTATATATATATATATATATATATATATATATATATATATATATATATATATATATATATATATATATATATATATATATCATGTTGTTTTATATTGTAGGCCTGTAATTTTTAGGAATAACTCACTGAAATCTGTCCGAACAAGAGTCTAGTAAACATCCCGGTATGATAAAACTTGAAACACGAAATCATAAATTATAATATAATAAATAATCATAAAAAAATAATAATATAATAATAAATTTAGTTCAATAATATAATCAAACCAAAAACACTGAAATTTGAAATAGAGCGCCAAGTTCGCACATCACTGAGCAAAGTCGCAAAATCGTTTTCAGTGTCTGATGATGAATTTCCCCACGAATCATTATCACTCAATTCTGCAAGTGATTCTAATTTACTATCGCTGTTCTCTAGCTGGTCTAAAACCGCTTTTGACCTAAAGGGACGCTTTTTGGATGCCATGGACGTTTCTCAGTTTCCAGGCAGAAAGGACGGTAAAAATGCAGGCAGGGCACAGGACAAAGCACTCGGGACAAAATGTATGTGAAATGGTTTGATACAGTAATGTTTTACTATGTGATTTTAGTGTATTTAGTGAATGTCACTTTAAAAATTTTTGAATTTGCCACCAGTTCTGTCTCCATATGTCCCGACGTCGCAGGGAACGGAACCCGGAAGACAGATGCCGGCATCGCACTGGAGGACATTGCCGGGGACACTGCAGGGGGGACATCGTGGGAGCGCAGGACAAGGTAAGTGATCAAGGTAATCCCGGAGCAGTGCTGCAGTGTATTTCCGAGTGTAGCTCAGGGTTACCGCTTTTGGCACTGAAAGTTAAAGCCGAACTACACTCGGGAATACCGCCAGGGGGGTTAAACATGAATTGTAAACATCTGGCACTGTAGGGGCTGACGTGCCGGAACAAGTGTGGTCTTGCTAAGTGACAGAAAATATCTGCAAATCACAATGAAGTATCTCTAGTTCACACTTGATTCAAAATGCTAACAAAACGCACATATAGCATTAATGTGCGTTAACAGGTGCGTTGGTAGTCACTTTTAATGCATGTTAAAAATGCTCCCCAAATGCCCTACAGTTGTGTCCAAAATTATTCAACCCCACTGAAATTGGAGTGTTTTGGCCAGTTTGAACATTGCTTTTGATTTATCAGTCATCTTGCTTACTTTACATTAAAGAGGCACTTGTAGGTCAGACAAATATAACATAACAGTTATAATGAAATAACCACAAATGTCTTTTCTGTGTTTCCGTCACAGCATTATCAGTTTTATTCAACCCCCAAGTGACATTCAATCTTAGTGAAGTATCTCTAAGGGCTTGTTCACACTTGATTCAAAATGCTAACAAACGCACATATAGCATTAATGTGCGTTAACAGGTGCGTTGGAGTCACTTTTAATGCATGTTTTCTTGTCTTCCTGCTCCCCTTCACCAATGCCCACCAGTAAATGTCTATGTGCGTTTTTTGGCTCGTTTTTACGCACCACAGTTTTCAAAAAAGCACCTGTATGCACCTCAAATGGTATTAAAACTGTATTGTTAACGTGCCACAACCGCCTCGCAAATGCCTGCCATTTGGCACGTTTGCGGAGCATTACACTAATCCCTAAACTTGAATGGGGGTTGAAGCATTCAAAGGCTTCAAAAACTCCTCCAGACTCGACATGCGGCTTTTTGAATTTTTCAAGCGACATCGACATGACACTAACACTTCACATTTTGATAATGTGAACAGCACCGTGTGCTGTTCATTGTATCATTATCATGGGCATTTGAGGAGCATTAAGAGTAAAAACACCCCTCAGACGCCTGCTTTTAATGCCAGTGTGAACTTAGCCTTCGGCATTGCAAAACCTGTTGCTGAACAGATGATGAAAGCACCTGTATGAACCCTCTGTTCTTCAGAGTGTATCTTAAGGGGTTGAATAATAGTGGCAATTGAAGAAACCACATTTACTACTGTATTACATAAACAATTGAATGTCCATTTTAGTTGTTTTTGGGTAGTTACAACGTCCTTGTAGGCTGTAGAGTAGAAAAGGGAATATTTTTACTGTATTTTGTTTTTGTTTTTTTTTGTTATGTATAAAAAATACATTTAATGTTTTAGAAAAGGGAATATTTAAAAGTGAACCCCACTTTTGCGGGAAAAAATAGCAACTAAAAAAATAGCATATACAAAAACAAAAAAATAATAAACAAAGCAGAAAAACAAAACAAAAAAAACAAAACAAAAAAAAATGTAAATATATATATATATATATATATATAGTATATAATATATTATACAGTTGCTACAGAAGTCATATTGTAATTGAATGTTATTAAAAAATGATCTTTCCTTTGCAATATGGAGTGCTGAAATTTTCTGTAAAATACAATCTGGCTTCCTAGAGGCGGTATATACACAGATGGGGTACAGAACACCCCCCAGAAATGTCATTTCTTGCTTGTGTGATAGGCTCACTGATTTTCCCAGAAGTCTGCCTGAACCCCTGGTTCACATTTGAATGGGCTGCTGTGTCCATGTTCCACGCAAGATCTGCATGGCCTTTTTGATGAGATGTGTGGGGGTGCAATTCTGAATGAATGGCACCACCCCTTCCATCTTGCAAGAGAAACGTGATGCTGCTGTCGGTGGTTGCGGGTGCGTGAATCGCATCGATTTTCACACCCGCAGCTAGTGTGAACCTAGCCTTAGATTCAAGTCAGAATTTGAGCATCCTTTGCAACTAAAATTTCATTTTGGTGAGGGAAATGACACCTAAGGCTACTTTCACACTATCCACGTTTTTGCTGTGTTTTTATTGCATTCGCAGTGTGTTTTTTTTAAGCAAGATGTGACTCAAGAACCACACCAAAAACGCAATGCAGGTGTGTTTTTGATGCATTTTTGCCATGTTTTTCATTCATGTAAATGGGGAATGTGTTTTTTTTATAGCACCAAACCTGCACCAAAAATGTAGCAAGCAGGACTTTGAAAAACGCACTGGACCAGCAACTGATCAGTGTGAAAAATTCCATATATATATACAGTATCTCACATTTCTGTAAATATTTGATTCTATCTTTTCATGTGACAACACTGAAGAAATGATACTTTGTTACAATGTGACGTAGTCAGTGTACAGCTTGTATAACATGTAAATTTGCTGTCCCCTCAAAATAACTCAACACACAGCCATTAATGTCTAAACAGCTGGCAACAAAAGTGAGTCCACCCCTAAGTGACAAGGTCCAAATTGGGCCCAATAAGCCATTTTCCCTCCCCGGTTTCATGTGACTTGTTAGTGTTAAAAGATCTCAGGCGTGAATGGGGAGCGGGTGTGTTAAATTTTTCGTGTTATCACTCTCACTCTGTCCTACTGGTCACTGGAAGTTCAACATGGCACCTCATGGCAAAGAACTCTCTGAGGATCTGAAAAAAAAGAATTGTTGCTCTACATAAAGATGGCCTAGACCCTGTCACATGAAAAGATATAATAAAATATTTACAAAAATGTGAGGGGTGGACTCACTTCTGGGAGATACTGTATATATACATTTTTCTTCTTCACACATTTCCTGTAGGAACTCATTGTCACGCTTTTTTTCCCCCGCTTTTTTTAATGCAAAAATGCAGAGCAGCCACAGACCGCTGTTCTCTATGGAGCGATCAGATATAAACAGACTGCGTGTTCATTGACATCTGACTGTTATCCAATCCGATAGACAGTCCCCAGTGATGGAGAATTTTTTAGGGATCGAGTGTCCAAACTGCAACCCAAAACCCACCTATTTATCGAAAAGTGCCAACACGGCAATTAAACCTGAATATTGAGGTTTTAATTTTGAGAAAAAAAAAAACACTGACCACCAGCACAAGGGGGCAAAGAACCACTGACCACCAGCACAAGGGGGCAAAGCTCTACTGACCACCAGCACAAGGGGGCAAAGTTCCACTGACCACCAGCACACAAAGGGGAAACGTTCTACTGACCACCAGCACAAGGGGCAAAGTTCCACTGACCACCAGCACAAGGCGGCAAAGTTCCACTGACCACCAGCACAAAGGGGCAAAGTTCTACTGGCCACCAGCACAAGGGGGCAAATTTCCACTGATCACCAGCACAAGGGGACAAAGTTCCACTGACCACCAGAACAAAGGGGCAAAGTTCCACTGACCACCAGCAAAAGGGGGCAAAGTTCCACTGACCACCAGCAAAAGGGGGCAAAGTTCCACTGACCACCAGCACACAAAGGGGCAAAGTTCTACTGACCACCAGCTCAAGGGGACAAAGTTCCACTGACCAACAGCACAAGGGGGCAAAGTTCCACTGACCACCAGCACAAGGCAGCAAAGTTCCACTGACCACCAGCACAAAGGGGCAATGTTCTACTGGCCACCAGCACAAGGGGGCAAAGTTCCACTGATCACCAGCACAAGGGGACAAAGTTCCACTGACCACCAGAACAAAGGGGCAAAGTTCCACTGACCACCAGCACAAAGGTGCAAAGTTCCACTGACCACCAGCACAAGGTGCAAAGTTCCACTGACCACCAGCACACAAAGGGGCAAAGTTCTACTGACCACCAGCACAAGGGGGCAAAGTTCCACTGACCACCAGCACAAGGGGGCAAAGTTCCACTGACCACCAGCACACAAGGGGGCAAAGTTTCACTGACCACCAGCACAAGGGGGCATCTTGTGCTAAAAAAAAACAAATGTATTAAAACTCACAGCCAGTCCAATATATATATCCTTGGCAGCACACTGACCAGCCATGCAAAAACTCAGACGAGTCTAGGTGCGACTTGATGGTCACAGGAGGCAATTACACCAGGAAACTCTGGGTAAACCCACATACCAACACATAGGGGTTGATTTACTAAAGGCAACATTTTTTTGTAAGACAACAGAACAAACGATTTTTGTGCAATTAGTATAGTTTTTGTACGAAAAAAATTGAGTGACCAAGACTGCACATGTTCGGAAATAAAAGAATACATTACAATACATGAAATCACTACCGAAGTTGCCTTCTGCCTTTTGTAACCTATTCGTTTTCAATATGAGACTAGTATGCAAAAAAACAGGACGATCATTCATCCGATATTCTCATCATGTGTACCGGGCATTAGCAGTCTTTCCAGATTGCTTTAAAGTGTTACTAAACCCACAACAGTAAAATCAGTCTGTATATTCAGTAAAGCATGCTTGTTATAAAAAGAAAAGAGAGAGGGGAGGTGCCAACTAAGTGCAGTAATTGAGTATTTCCATTGATTGACACAGGTTACAAACACTCACATGACTGAGTAAAAGACAGGACTCATCTGTAAAGTGTGGTAGGAAGCCACTCCTCTCCGTCCTGCAGAAACCGCCAGCCACAATCCTCTCTCCCTGCAGAACACGTGCCTCAGACCTGTTGGCAAGCAACATCCAATGCCAACACGTCAAGTATGAGCTTCTCGCAATGCACCATGGGATATGTAGGGTAATGAAGTCCTAATTCCAGAACTATGTAAAATTGGTAGCAGGGTTCTGAAAATACAGTTCTGCTTCACAATCATGACCTAAAGGGCTCCAAAACTTTCCCTGAAAAGTCAGACTATTGTTTAGTTTTGTTTCTAGGGAAAAAAACTAAACAATAGTCTGATTTTCTAGGGAAACAAAACTAAAAACAATTTTCTAGTCTGATTTTCTAGGGAGACAAAACTAAACAATAGTCTGATTTTCTAGGGAGACAAAACTAAACAATAGTCTGATTTTCTAGGGAAACAAAATTAAACAATAATCTGACTTTCTAGGGAGACAAAACTAAACAATAGTCTGACTTTCTAGGGAGACAAAACTAAACAATAGTCTGACTTTCTAGGGAGACAAAACTAAACAATAGTTTGACTTTCTAGGGAGACAAAACTAAACAATAGTCTGACTTCCTAGGGAGACAAAACTGAACAATAGTCTGACTTTCTAGGGAGACAAAATTAAACAATAGTCGACTTTCTAGGGAGACAAAACTAAACAATAGTCTGACTTCCTAGGGAGACAAAATTAAACAATAGTCTGACTTTCTAGGGAAACAAAATTAAACAATAGTCTGACTTTCTAGGGAAACAAAACTAAACAATAGTCTGACTTTTCAGGTGGCGGTTCCTGCAGGACAGAGAGGAGTAGCTCCTACCACATTTTACAGATGAGTCCTGTCTTTTACTCAATCCTGTGAGTCTTTGTAACCTGTGTCATTACATGGTACTACTCAATTACTGCACTTAGTTGGCGCCTCCCTCTCTCTTTTGCTTCCATTGTCTAGAGCTGGCAACACTCTAAGGATGGCAGCCACTACCTGGCTTCTAATCCAAGTACTTAATTTAACCCATGGACTTCCATAATCATGGTTTTACACCATATTGCTTTTAAAGCCATTTGACAAATGCGGTTTATCTTTACTGCAGGTAAACACATCTCTGTGTGCCAGTATTATACTGAAGCATGCGTGTGTTATACTCACTGTGGAACCTATGGGGTTAATCCTCCGCATTGTGTAAAAAGGATGTTTGATCTTATCTTCTCTGATCCTCCCCTTCTTATACTGTCCCCAATCTATTTGATGATAGAACAGAGCCTTGGGGGCAAGCTGCACATGCTCAGTTTGTTGCTGTGTATTGCTAGAGAGAACTCCTCCTACAAACTTTAACCAGTGCTCTGCTGGATACTGATGTAAGTCTCAAGACTGCTGTAACTGCTGATGAAAAGGTATTTAGCAGTTTATATTTACTAAAAATAATTGCATTTCCATGTTCTGTGTACTGTGGGAGACCAGATATAGTGAATGCAGGGTCCGGGGTTTAGTAATACTTTAATGATTTGTGATCTGTTTGTAAATCCAGGTTCATAACTTTTGACAATCAAGGTTTGCAGACTGTACAGTGTTCTGTGGATCAGTCAAAGCATTACACATATTGAGAAGGACTGGAACATGGCAATTTACCTGGAAAGTGTTGGGCAGAGCCATTCTATCTTAATGTTCTCATTTTGTGGCACATCATGAATCGATTTTTCTTATCTTCAATCTCAAAAATGACTTTATAAAAATAGTTTTATTTAATTTTGAATTATACTATATGATGTTCTGCTTACTTATGTTGGATAAAAGAACACATTGGGCCCTACAAATTTGTAGCCTTCAATACTTTGTATTTTTATTCCTCTGCAATTGCCTTCATAAAATACTTTAAAAACGAAATAAGCATCCATATATGTAATAACATCTCTGCGGAATGTGAGACAATTCTATAACTTTAACATTACTTTCTGTACTTCTTCCTTCAAATAACAGCACATCGATTATAATCAACTCAATAAAAAAGCCCATATTATAATTGCAATAACTTCATAAATTTGTATTCTGAAAGAACATCAAGTTTTAATCAATCTGAAAATGTATTTTTATAATGATCCCTGCCTTGTATGAAACATTTAAATAGTAGAAGTGAGAAAATCTTTACTGTTTTGAGCTGGAAATCACACAGCAGGTACACACTTCGAAATCTGATGTTAACAAATACAAAAAACCCATAAAAATTAGAAGAAAGATGACTTTTTGAACCTACCAGTTATTAAAGATTATGATTACAAAATATATTCTGTCATATTATTCTACTGAGAAATACACACTGTTTATTATACAAATGAAAGCTATCAAAACTAGATAATTCAACAGATAATTTATCAATGCATAAAAATGTATGAATTTGTTTTTATTATATTTTTTTAAGATGACTTTTGTCTACAGAAAATAGACTGTCATGTTTGTCATAAAACGGTATATGATCTATTGCACCATATTTCTTGTACTTAGTTCAGAAGATAACTTTATATAAGTTTTTTAACCACTTGCTCTCTGGAAAGTTTATCTGCTTCAGGACCAGGGCATTTTTTTTCTATTCAGAACTGTGCTACTTTAACTGGCAATTGAGTGGTCATGTAACACTGTACCCAAATTTTTTTTTCACACAAATAAAACTTTCTTTTGGTGGTATTTGATCACCACTAGGTTGTTTATTTTTTTAATATATACATGAAAAAGACCAAACAGTTTGATAAAACAAATAAAAATAATAATAAAATATTTTCTACTTTCTGTTATAAAAAATATCCAATAAAAAAAAATCTAATTTCTTCTTAAATTTAAGCCAAAATATATTCTGCTATAAGTCTTTGGTTAAAAAAAAAATCCCAATAAGTGTATAATAATTAGTTTGTGTGAAAATTCTAGAATCTACAAATTAATGTATATACAGTTGTGTTCAAAATAATAGCAGTCAGACATCACTAACCTGATCAATCACTGTTTTTGGTAGAAATGATATTTCTACATGGCAAATAATTTACTAGCAGGTGTAGTAGAGTAATAGAAATCCAACAGACCCAGCAGTCATGACATGCATGCTGCTGATTCTGTGTAATTGAATCACTAGTTGAAAGGGGCATGTTCAAAATAATAGCAGTGTGGAGTTCTATTAGTGAGGTCATTCATTCTTTGAAAAACAGGTGGCAATTATTGCCCTTATTTAAGGAAGGAAGGGAGCAAATGTTGTACATGCTGGTTACAGTGCATTTCTCTCTGAAATTCTGAGGAAAATGGGTCTTTCCAGACATTGTTCAGAAGAACAGCGTACCTTGATTAAAAAGTTGATTGGAGAGGGGAAAACATATAAAGAAGAGCAGAAAATGATAGGCTGCTCAGCTAAAATGATCGCAAATGCTTTAAAATGGCAACCAAAACCTGAAAGACGTGGAACAAAGCGAAAAACTACCATTCGAATGGATAGAAGAATAGCCAAAATGGCAAGGACTCAGCCAACAATCAGCTCCAGGAAGATCAAAAAAGGTCTAAAGTTCCCTGTGAGTACTGTTACAATTAGAAGACGCCTATGTGAAGCCAAGCTATCTGCAAGAAGCCCCCGCAAAGTCCCACTGTTGAAAAAAAGACACGTGCTGAAGAGGTTACAATTTGCCAAAGAGCACATTGACTGGCCTAAAGAGAAATGGCGCAACATTTTGTGGACTGATGAAAGTAAGATTGTTCTTTTTGGGTCTAGTGGCCGGAGAAAGTTTGTCAGACGACCCCCAAACACTGAATTCAAGCCACAGTACACTGTGAAGACAGTGATGCATGGTTGTGCAAGCATCATGATATGGGGATGTTTCTCATACTACGGTGTTGGGCCTATTTATCGCATACCAGGTATCATGGATCACTTTGAATACATCAGAATACTTGAAGAGGTCATGCTGCCTTATGCTGAAGAGGAAATGCCCTTGAAATGGGTGTTCCAACAAGACAACGACCCCAAACACACCAGTAAATGTGCAACATCTTGGTTCCAGACCAACAAGATTGATGTTATGGAGTGGCCAGCCCAATCCCCGGATCTTAATCCAATAGAAAACTTGTGGGGTGACATCAAAAATGCAGTTTCTGAGGCAAAAACCAAGAAATAGAGAAGAACTGTGGAATGTAGTCCAATCATCCTGGGCTGGAATACCTGTTCACAGGTGCCAGAAGTTGGTTGACTCCATGCAACACAGATGTACAGCAGTTCTCAGAAACAGTGCGACTACAACCAAATATTCATTAAGTGATTCAAAGGAAAGCAAAATCTTCAAACATTTT